ATAAATAGCGCAGAGGATCAAAGGAATAAGGATTATAACCACATGACCATAAGCACTCTTACGGTGCTTGGCCTCTAGAAGGTAACTTTGTTACCTGGAATATATGAATCCACATTGGAAGGAAACTCGTTACGTTTATTCATTAGAGGATAAAGCATAAGCATATGATATTGGGATGTGGGTCAAAGTTGGAGGCCTTGCGCTAATCGTTTGTAGCATTAACATTACTGCGGCGCGGGCTGGAGTCATAGGGTTTAGGTTGGTTGACGAGAACGATAAGCCTCTAGTTCCTTATAGAGCATCGACTAATAATCGGAGACCTTCCCATTTCAAGGTGCAGCCATATCCATTTAGTGGCGAGGCATTCTACTCGGCTACGTTTCACATGTTGGTCAATTGTAAATATGCTAAGTTACAGGTTTACCCCGATGGTGGAAGTAGTGATGGAAAAAGAAATGGCATGGTTGGTATAAACAGTACGCACACGAGCCCCAGCGAAAACGATGATGAGGCCTGGAATCATAAGCCTATTAGCACCATGAGTGTGTTGCCGCTAGTTCCGCATTATCAAGGCGGCGCGAATACTGTCTTTACTTACCCCAAGTCGAGGATGCCTTGGACGCCCGACGACGATAAGGCCGACATAATGCACAAGGACAAGATCAAATCTTCATCTTCTTCAGGAGGACCACCCCGATAGCTACTACCAAGATCCAAATGTTATTCCCCACGAACTTTAACAGTTCTCCGCCGGCCCTAAGTGCCAGGCCAAGAACGCTACAAAGCAGCCCAGGCAAGCCGGCTGCCATCTTTTTTCCCAAGTCCGTCAGCCCATTGCCTAATTTCTTTACGCCTGTGCCCGTAGCCTTAAGAGCGGATAGGATTACCCCTACTACGGTGCTAATAGCGACCGCGAATGCAAGGGGAACGCCATACTTCAAAAGGGCCCTTTTTACCTTTTCCTTGGTGGTAAGCCCCAACTCCTTTTCCAGATTGTCCTTTTGCGCCTGTATTTCCGCAACTCTTACCTGAAGGGTTTCTGATTCCCTTTGGGCTGCCTCCCTTTCCTCTTCGGGACGAGCCTGGTCGTTGATTATTTCCTGCTGCCGCTCTATTTGCCCCTCCAAGTCTTCAATAGACTGATCTCTTTGTCGGATTTGCTCTTCTTTGGTGTTAATTTCGGCAACCAACTGCCGCCGTTCCTCTAAGGAGCCGACTATGGTGGTTTGCAAGTCCTTGGCTTCTTCCTTGCTCGTGTCCAGGTCTTGCAGGGCGAGCTCAAAGGGTTTTTGGGCCTGGTCTCTTTCGCGTCGGGCTTTGTCTCTTCGTTCTTTCATCTCTACTATTTGCTGATTCTTATCGTTGACTTCTCT